GAGACCTGAATGCTAAACACAGCAGGCGTATAAAAAAAGGAGAGAATGTGGCAGATTCTTATATCTGCTTGGAGATTAGTTGCAGTGAAAGCTTCAGAGACATCGCTATAACGCAGTCGTCGTATTTTTTTATTTTTCCGCCGATTTCCCAACAAAAAGGCATCATGGCTAATTCAGCCAGCCTCGTGCTCTTCTCTGAGATATTTATTTAGCCTGACTAAGGTCAACGTTCAGCACTTTTTCAGACGGCCTTCAAAGCCAAGTTGGCTGTAGACGGTTGAAGACTCCTAATCTCGTGGACCAGAATCTCATTCGGTAACATGGTTTTATCTATCAGAATTTCAACTTAATTGCTGTATTTGCCCTCCCATGTTGATACGTAGACAGAAGTTGACAAAATCATTTTCGGTGCGCACTAGAACAGCTGATCATGTGAGAAGTTCATATTCAGTGCAGTGATTTAAGTACGTGCAGTGACCCTTAATTAATATTCCTGCTTTCTCATTGGCTGGACTGACTAATGTGTCAGAGAGTGATATACTCGTACCATTTCATTCTTTTGGCTGTAGGTCTTTAAAGTACCAGAGCCACTTTTTTTTACTCTATCAAATTCAGCTTTGCAGTGAGGGTATTAGGTACATCCTCTGTAGTGATTGTTTTTCATGGCTTTGCAATACCAGTGCTCCATTTGAAAGTTCATATACTGGACCCTCCCCAAACGGCTAAAAGTAATTCAAAGATCATCACTATTGTTCACGTCAACCTTTGGACTGTGTACTAATTGTATCTTTCAACAGATCAATGAACCTATGCACGCCTAAGGGCAATAAGTTCGAAGTTCTCTGGTCGAAGCGTTACCCCCAAGATGCCATCGAAGTTGGGTTGAGCGCCCTCTGGCAGCTTGAAGGTGAACTGCTGTAACATGCTGGTGACGAACATGTACAACTCCATCTTGGCCAGTTGCTCCCCCAGGCAGACTCGACGACCTGCAAAGGAAGATATGCAAAGACTTAATTTCTACTTTTTCATCTTAGCTAAGGGAGGCAGAAACAGAAGGTTGTTAGCGTTACCTGTAGAGAAAGGCAAGAAGGAATCCGTTGTCTGCAGTTGTCCGTTGCCGTCTAGGAACCTGCTCGGGTCGAACTTGTCGGGGTTGTCCCAGCGGCCCGGGTCCATGTGTAGGGACCACAGGTTGATGAGCACGTCCGTGCCGGCGGGGATGTTGTAGCCGAGCAGGGTGGTGTCCGAGGTGGTGCAGTGTGGGACGGCCAGGGGCACCACAGTGCGGATGCGCTGCATCTCCATGATGGTGGCTTCCGTGTAGGGCAGGTTGGGCTTGTCGCTGACGACTGGAGGACGGTCCCACCCCACCACTTGGTCCAACTCAGCCTGAACCTTCGCCTGCACATCGGGATGCGTCACAAGGTACAGCAGACCCCAGCGTAAGGTGTTTCCAGCCGTATCCGTCCCGGCGCCCAAGAGATCAATGAGGAGGTACATCAGACTCTGATCGGGCAGTGAGTCCGGGTCCAGCTCCACGCTCTTGGTGAACGCGTCCACGATAGTGTTGGCCGCGTCGGAAACGTTCTTGCTCTTTTGATGTTGAGTGACGATATCCCTTATACAATCATGGGTTCTAGCTGACAGGTCCATCCATTCTTGGTACGGTCGTCCTACGACTGGAAAGAAGCGGAGTACCGGGTAGATGTTGATGACGTGAGCGGTGACGAACAGGACCATGGCCCGCTCCACAATCTCCATCAGACGGAGGAAGGTTGGGTCTCCGTATTCAAACCTCTTCCCTGTCGCCATTGAGCAGATGATGTTGGCCACGGCGTTGTGGAGAAGGTGGGTCAGGTCGAAAGGTTGATCTACCTTCTCTCCCAGCGCTGTGCAGAAATGCTGACACTCTAGCCTGATCTTCTCCTCGATTGTGCCCGTGCCCATACCGCAGGAACGAAGTGTTGACACGCTGAATCGACGGAGAATCTTCCACCCATCACCGTAGGGACGCATGACGAGCCCTGTAATTAGTGAAGAAATAAAATCAAAACGTTTACGAAAAGGGTAAAACGAGGCCTCTGCAAGAGTAAATCATCCATCGCCATGTTCATATTCAAAGCCGTTATCTGATATTATCTAGTTGTAGCCAGAAGAGTAGCCTGGTTGCCAGACCGATAGCACACAAGACAGAAAGTATCTCAGTGAGCATATTTTGTACATCTGTCCAGTGTGCTATGGGTTTGGCACCCAGGTTACCAGAAGAGCCGATATTTGCCCATACAAAACAGTACCAAAGGTAGCAAAGGTAGCAAAGGTCAACATCACAGTTTTCTATAAATAGTGGTAACACGTACAAATGTGAAGGACGATACCGTTTGGCCTAGTCCTATGCTTTTTTCGCTGTACTCGTTTACACAAAGAACACGACAGACCGAATAAAGATGAGACTACTGGTGGTCTCTGGTCGTTTTAAGCCAGGATCAGTAGGTGGCACTATAAGGTAATCAACATGGTTAACGTTATATTTGAGTTAGTTACCATTCCGATGGTTATTACGGCGCATCAGGAACAGGTCTGGTCTGCTGGAGAAGTGCTCGGCCTTCCTGACCAGGGCCTCCCTGATAGCGTCCTTCCCGCTGACCACCACGGCGTCCTGTAGACCCATCTTCACACTGAAGACGTCCCCGTACGTCCCACGCCAGGCCGTCAGCTGCAGGTGGGCGTTCCGGGCCAGACTGGGGAGGTTGCCGAGCACGGGCCATCCCGGCGGACCCGGGGGGTAGCCCGCTGGTTTACGGACTCGGAATATGACGAATAAAAGAAACGTCAGAACACCAACCAGCACTG